TCACTGTCCAGGCTCTGGCCAGTATTGATGCCTTCTCTGGTGAAAGCTGTGTAAGACCTAAATCTGAACTCGTGGCACACGGGTTTCAGAATACCAGGAGATGGCAACGTGAATTGAAGGGCTCTGGGATTTGGTGTCATGTTAAAGAGGAACTCCTATCTAAGGACAGAAAGGAGCGGGATACCAGGGTGATGACTGAGTCTATAGCAGCCTGATCCTAGGATGAACATTAAGGAGGCTGACACATGCTATATATTGGTGGGCAGAGAAACACCAAGAAAGGGAGAGCTATGGAGAGGGGCAGAAGAGACCGTACAATATTGAAAGATCTTTTAATGGAACAGTAAGTTCTTTCTTGATCTCTCCATCCCAGCATCCAAAATACAAAACTATGTGATTATTTTTCCAAGGCCAAGCAATGAGGTACACCACGAGAGACAAGTGGACAAACAGCAAGCAAGGACCAAAGCACTCAGTCCCCTCCTTTCTTGCTGTTTGCCTATGTGTGGCTGCAAACACATGGAACATCTGGAAAACATCTAGTTTCTCCATTTCTCCTTTCCTGACATACCAGCATGTGGGACATTTAGAAGGGCCTGGAGGTTATAGTAACACTTTCTTCATTCTTTGCCATATTTTGACCCCTCTGTAAGCTGTGGGTTTGGAGATGGAAGGTGGAAAGGTGGCCAGAGATTAGAAATCTTCTTGGGGTCATGGCTCCATCCAATTTCCACATTCCTGGTACCTAAGAATTAACCTCTGCCCTACCTGTGTCTTAAACATTAATTTCTTATCTCCTACTCTCTTCGCTGTGTGACAGCAAGGGAAGTGTCACTTACAGGAACAGTCTGCCTGGGAAGGGATGTCCCAGAAACCTGGAGGTGTGGCAGACAAGCAGATGGAGATGGTGAGAGGCTCATCCCTCTAGGATTGGAAAGATGTTGTGGGCTGTGTAGATAGAGACATAAAAGCTTAACAGTGTGTTTCATAAAGGCAAAGCTTTGAACGCTGGCTTCAGTGGGTATGTGGGGATGGTCCAAATAAAAAAATGGATGTGTTTGACTATGTATGTCCTTTTATACATCCATATAGCTATGTAACCACCAGCCTCAGTGATTTCAAGTCCTTCTGCCATTGAAGGATCTATGATTTGTTTCACACTAAATGAAACAGAGGACATTTGCGCTGTGTAAAATGACAATACATTGCATGCACACTTACAATATCATGAATATGTCAATATTAAGTACTAGTATGAGTTTACTTTACACATAAATGTGTAAATGAAGGGTGTGTGTGATGGAATACTAATATATGAAACCTATCCTTACGAGACCTGATTCCTGGCTGGGAGCTCTAGATGTTGTACAAGCACTAGTAATAGTAGTCACTTTATTCCAGCCACAATACTACAACCAGGATGTCATACACGCATGGCAGATAGATAAGGCAGACAGATTTCTTGTTTTCCACTGAGATGCTTTTGAATACATCCTGGCAGGGCTGACTCACCCTTTTAGCTTTCCAAGGAAGATAAATTGCTTTCCAGGAGCTTCACTGTATACAGGTTATTTTTGAGCAGCTTCCTTAATTAAGGTTTATCTGCTGTGTGCGTAATCCACAGATGAAGAGCCCTTGTCTTTTTTTGTGTGAACAGAAGTTTCCCTCTGAACAATCTGTTTCTCACCCAACCCATTGTTATACAACATGACACACATACTATATGGATACCATGTCCTACCCCAGAAGTAGCTGCAGGCCAGTGGCCTGAAAATAAGTCATTTCAAATGCCTGGGATGCTTCAGTGGGGAAGGACTGAATAGAAATGGGACTCCTGAGGGCCACAGTTGGCACAGACCAACTATTAGTACATTTCTTTCATCCATGACCTTAAACTCCGCCTCTGCCCCAGCCTCATGTTTCTTATCTTTTATATCTGAAATTATGCTGAAAGCACCCAGTTGGAAATACATTTTGCAGTTGCAAACCTTGTGATCTGGCAAGGACTCAAACTGATGTCATCCCAACTGGGATAAGAGGACAATGATGTCATCGGCATAGCAAAGGAGCCTTTTAGCTCTGTAATGCGGTAGGTGCGGGTGAGAGGTTTCAGTCTGACCTCCCTGGAGAGAAAAAGTGCTCTCCCATTCCCTGCCAGGTAAAGGGCTGGCTGGCAGTCAGCTCTCCATGAGTTCATCTGTCAGAATAGCAGGAGAGCCAACCCTGCGGCTCACTGTTCCCTGGCCTCCTGCTAGCAGTGGGAAAGAGATAAGCCTTCACAGGGCTGCATAGCCCAGGTAACAGGGTAACTCCTCTGGAGTCAGAGAGGCATGCGTGCAGCAGGCCACACTTCATAATAGCTGTCCTGGTTGGCACAGGAGGTACGTGGGATGAGAGCAGCAAGGCCAGTGGCAAGAGAGTTCTCCCTTCAGTCAGTGGGTTTCATCTTTGTCCAGGGATTAACGATTTTGTCACATTCACTAATGGTTTTGCAGGAATCAGGAATATGGGACTGGACCTTTAGGGTCTTGTAGTTATGTCTCAATTGTCTTTTGACTCTCCCAA